ACGTACCAAAGATACCTGGTGTTTATGGCAGGCTGACAAATTAACAGGTAATAGAACATACAAGAAAAACTTAAGCCTCCCAATTACAATTAAAAATTTGTTAAGTGAGTTTGGCATAATTTATCAGCAGAATCGCTATTGTTAAAATGTTTGTATGGCCAAACTCAAAATAGAAACAAATGCTTAAACAGTATGATCTGGAAAAAATTTATTATAAAATTATTTGCTCAGCAATCATTGAATTTAATGATGGTAAATCTGGTTTAAGCCTAATAATGCAAATGCTTGGACTGCCAGTTTCACAGTTTATGCATAATGCATTTAAAAAAAGTGATATAGAGCGCATAAGAAATGTTCATAGAAAGTCATCAATCAAAGGCGTAAAAGCAAGAAGAAAATTAAGAGCCATTAGAAAAGGATTTCTAGATAAAGAAAAAGAAAATGAAGAGATACCTGCTTATTTAGCAGGGTCATATTAAGTAAATCATAATATTTTTTCTCAGTTTATCTTTATTTTTGCAATTTTCTCAGTATTTAATTTTTACCCATTTTGTTAACTTTAAAACGTGATATTTCATGATCAGGATAAGTTTTCAGGTTGAAATTTTTCCTGTATATTCTTAAGCTTTAATGGCAGGAGTTGAACTAAAACTATTATTTTATACACAAAACTTGTCATCTTATAGCGCTTTTTATAAATCCTAACTCTACAAAATATAATCAACAAGTAAAAAATGTCAATATCTTCTGAACTACTTTGTATTATGACTTAGTTTTAGTTCAACTCCTGCATTATAATACAATAAAGAACTGGTGAAATTTTCAAGTCTTTAACTATATAGGTTTTTTAAATATTTTGTTTAGAATATATCAAAATATCAATTCTTCAGTAATAATCGAGGCAAAAATACTTGATTAACTACTTTTTTAATTATTTCTAAATAATTTATTTTAAATGAAAAAAAAATTAAAAAATTGTTGTGCATTGTCTTATTTCCAATTTTATTTTTTATGATTATGTATCACCTTAACATTTTAAAATTGTCTTTTTTAAAATGCTGTTGCTTATATATTACGGATTATTATATATTACGGATATTTATTTGCGTTACTATTGGGGCTCGGTGATAAAGCTATTTTATGCCTTCTTTTTGCTCCAGCCAATTGTACTTTTTATATTGTTGTACTTTGTCAATATTTTTATATTGTTGTACTTTGTGAATATTTTTAACAGCGAAATAAACTAATAAAACTAAAGTAAATTCTGTAAAACATCACCTTATTATTAGCAAACAACGTAACTTAAAAGTTATTCTTAATATAAAATTAAAACATTCGAAAATGTTTAACTGCTCGGAATAAAACTCAATAACAAACTATCTTTTAAAGATTATTTGAAAATTTATTCAAATATACATATAAAAATTTATTCAAATATACATATATAATATACAGATAAAAAAGGAATTCAAATTGAAATTAAAAAGCTGGATACTAAAACAATTCCCATGCAAACTATGCATGATTTTTTTTAAAGATATAAATAAACTGAAGTAACATCTTTGTACTTTTTTTAGTTTATTTATGTTATTATTGTTTGCTGTTTGTTTGGAGTTATGTATTCATTATTTATTTTAACGATATATATTTAAAATAATATATATTTTTGAAGGATAAGTATCGGTCGACTTAAATTAGCAGATTATAGAGCAATCTTGTCAACTATAAATTACAAAAAAATAAACGTATGTAGGCATATATGTATATGTATATATATATATATATATATATATATATATATATATATATATATATATATATATATATATATATATATATATATATATATATATATATATATATATATACACATATGCATACATACGTCATATCAGACTTATAGTCATTTCTTTACAACTTTAAGTGATTGCGTCTTCTTTTAAATAGCAGTACAATGGTTTCTTTTTTAAACGTTAATTAAAAAGGCTGCGCAAAATAAAAACAAAATGTAAGCTAAAATTTTCATTCTGATTCTGACTTTTTCTATATATATACATATCTGCTATGGATCGCTGAGACGAGGATGAGAAGGAAGATAGCGATAGTAGCTCTGGTTTAACAACTATTACAACAACCATGTTAACACCTAGAAGTGAGACATCTCAAGATGATATACAAAAAATTGGCGCTGTTTTTGAAGAAGATTCTGAAAGCAGAAACATAAATGAAGAAAATAAATTTTCTACTAAATTTGATCTTTTAATACTCGAATTAAAACGGCTTGTTGAGGTGTATACAGACGAAAGAAAGTTAGTTAATGGAATTTCATCATTAATTAAATTGTGCAATGAACTGTCGTTTGAGTTTGAGCAAAGAAGAAAAAACGATGCTGATAGGTATAAGAAAAATTTAAAAGAGATTGATTTAAAATTACATACATTGGAGTCAAATAATAAAAACTACATAATTCAAATTGATAGTCTAATAAAAGAAAATCAAAATATTCAGAACACTAATGAAACTTTAAACAAATACATTCATGATGCAGAAATCTCACAGATACGAGAAATCGGTTCATTAAAAGCAAAAATGAGTTTAATGAGGATTGAAAAAGAAATCGAATACGAAAATGAAATGGAAAACAGTATAGTTACTTCTAAAGTGAAAACCAAGAAAAAGAGTTTTCCTGCATTTTTTCGGAAAAAACAACCAAAAAAGATTGATATTATAAATTTGGCAGAACATTTAGTTGAAAAGAATGAGGAAAAACTAAAACTGGAAATGGAAAATATGTCAATAGAAATTGAGAGCCTCAAAAAGTCTTGCGAAGACTTTCAAAAGAGAGAAGAGCTTTTAGAATCCGAATTACTATCAAAAGATATCGAAATCAGTAGAAAACAAAAGCGTATAAAAGAACTTAACGAAAAATGTTTACAAAATAAAAATTTTAATATTGATTGCCAGCAGCTAATTAAAGCTGCTGAATTAAAGATAAATCGGACAAAATGTATCGTTAGAACCATCGAAGAAGAATTAAAAGAAAGAAGTTGCGATGTTAGTAACATGCGTATGAAAGTAGCACAACTTCAGTTTTGCATCGATACTGTTAACGAAGAAAATAAAAAGCTTTTGAGTAAACTCAACAAAATAACTTTCGAGCTTTGCAACGAAAAAATAAAGTCGAACTTATTATTCGATAATTTGATAGTCTTTTTAAAAATAGTGCCAAATACTACGGCTTTTTCGCCAAACATTAGTTGTAACAGCACCATCCAAGTTCTAGAGGAATTCTTGAAAGAGCAAATTGAAACATCTAAAAAATATATAAGCGGTTTAATCCAACATAACGAATCATACAACAAAACAAGATTTGTGGAAACCGATAGTCAAACTGAAGTAACAATCAGACGTCATACCTTCGAAAATGACTCAAAAGTATCCGACATTTCTATTTCCGATTCTCTAAGAGAAACAATTAATTCAAGACAAAAAAGAAATTTAAAAGATGACAGAACTCCATCTTTTATTAACAACGAATTCATAACAAATTCTAATGCAAACTTACATGCTCAAGAAAAAGAAATAAAAACACAAGAAAAAATATCTTTTGATAAACATAATAAATTATCTACCTCCAATTTAAGAGAAGAGTATATTTGCCAGCATAAAAAGACCATCCACGCTGATGGTAAAAACAACTCAAATAACATTAAGATTAAAAAACAAGAAGTACGGCGTCGCCAAATAGTAGGATCAGTTTTAAATACATACATACATACATACATACATACATACATACATACATACATACATACACAGATATATAAATATATATATATATATATATATATATATATATATATATATATATATATATATATATATATACCATAAAAAGTTATTTTTTTATTGTTTATTTGCTTATTTATTAGTACTTCTTTTTATTAAAAATTAATTTTTTTGAAATTTAGGAACATACTCTAGTATTGAAAGAAAACTTTGATACACCTGATGCTCATATATTTAATTGCGAATCAAAAAGCCAAAATAGCTTAGCAAATCGTGAGCCATCCAGGGATCTGCAGTTGAATCAAAACATTATCAGAAATTGTGACATTATAGCAGATAAAAGCTTGTCAGCACCTGCGTCAAAACCGTTGAGAAATGAGGTTTCGCCTCATATTGCTAATGTTAATGACCTATCTGACTTTGATGATTCTTCGAGCATTGAAAAGAATAGAGATTTGTTTATGCAACACTATAAAGAAGGTACCACATCAATTAAAAAAATATTAGTTAAGAAATCAGATTTTGAGAAATGTGTACAACTATTAAGAAGTGGTCGCAAGAAAGCCGTTTAAATAGATGTTTTTCGAAGAAGAAAAAAAAAAGAAATGCTAATCAAGAACAAGCTCAACTTATCAAGTTAAACTCAAACGCAGTCTAAGTTAAACTTATACAGAGCTTAAACGAATTAAACGAAATATACAAAGCGTAAACGAATTAAACGGAATATGCAAAGCTTAAACGAAATATACGAAGCTTAAACGAATTAAACGGAATATACAAAGCTCAAACGAATTAAACGGAATATACAAAGTGAATTAAACAAACCATCCTTAAATTCTGAAAGCTTACGAGTTGAACATTCGTCAAAAACTGCTAAAATATTTATCAGAAAAAACTAATATATTTTTGTTTTTACCGAAATTTTTAGACAAAGAAATGCACCCACTTCTGTACAATGAGCAAGAATTGTTATATTCGTTAACTTTTCTTTTAATTATTAGCTAAATTATATGAGTTAAATAGCAAAATTATTTAAACTTTCTTAAACAAAAAAGAGTTTCTTAAAGAAATTCTATTTAAATTGATAGTTTTGTTGTTAGTTAAAAACGTTCATCCTAATTTTTCAGTAAACACTCCCCCTGTTTTGCTGTTGAGCATTAAAATGATCTTTGACGTTGAGCTATTGTTTCGAAACAGGCATCTTTGTCGAACTTCTTGTGAAAAATACCAAACTTTATTAACGATCGGTGCGCAGAGGAGATCTTTGTCAAGTCGCAATAATACATTTTTGAAGCAGATTTTAACGTTTCAAAATAATGTAAGAACACTTCTTTGAGAAGCTAGGTACATTTAAAAAACAATATAAAACTTGCTAATGGATATTTAACATTTTAAACTGAATCACAAGAGAAAGCCTGACACAAATTTATACAAAATATGATGAAAGTGGTACTTTTCTGGTTTATGTTGCCAATTTTAAATGTAAACTTGTCTGGTAAGTACTTAATTTTGTAAATAAAAAAAGAAATTGTTTCGAAATAACCGGTATTATTAGGCTAGTTTTTTTTTAGCTTTGATTTTGTTTTTGTTCTAGTATTAGGAAAAATCTGGAAACGCGATTCAGATTGCAACGCTTGTTTATTTCAATGTGATCCAAATTGCCCATCTTATTGTTGTCAGCCGAACCCACCACCAATAGTAAGTTATTATTATCCACTGCCCCCACAAGGAGCACCAGGAATTCAGGGATTACCTGGACCTCAAGGACCTGAGGGACCACCAGGACCTCCTGGGCCTCAAGGCCCTCCAGGAATTATAGGTTTACCAGGTTATCCGGGAGCACCTGTTGGACCACCTGGGATAAATGGTTACCCAGGGGCACCTGGAGTGCCTGGACCGGTTGGACCACGTGGAGAAATAGGCCCTGCTGGAATACCGGGCGCACGAGGATATCCAGGAAAACCAGCCCCACCAACTGATACTTCACATTCATGTCCGCAAGAATGTGAAATTTTATGCACATATAACTGTCACCCGGCGTGCTGTTCAGTTTATCGTTCAACAGACTACGTTTACACTTAAAGCAATTTATTCAAAAAAACCACATTAGGTTTATTATTTATAGAGGCTCATTTAGTTATCTGTCAGTTATCTGAAGTCTTCTGGGAGAATGCAATTATGAATAAATATGTATATATAGTATGTAAAAAATGTATTATTTTAAATAAAAGTATACAATAAACGTTTGTATTTCTTATAAAAATTGTGCTACATACAAAAAACATTTGAATATTTTAGCATTTAACTATTTCGTTTGTCGAATTATTAGCGCTCTTTCATTAGAGAAAAATTTCATTAGAGAAAAATATGAGAAAATATTTATTCGCTTAGAAAACTTTAATGACGAACAATACTTAAACGACTAAAAAAAACTGATCTTAAAATCTTAAAACAATTTTCCGTTGAAGACAAACCATCAAATTTTTTTTGCTGTTTCCATTTTACAATCATTTTATATTGTTTACTTCTTTTTTTTCAAAGTTTTGGCTCGCTCCTTTTTCGGTGGAGGAGGACGTTTTTGATCAAGATGTTCCTGATAACGGCTAATGTTAAAACAAAGAAAAACGTTTTAGTTATCATATAAAAATTGATGTCAATAAACAAAATAAAAATAAAAAAAAATTAAAAACGCTTTCTAACGCACATACGCAATAAAATAAAATTCATATGGTAATTTTAATGTTTTATGTAAAAAAAAAACAAAAAAAAAATTTAACAACATATTTAATATATGTTAATTATTATTTTTTATTATTTAGTATATATTAGGCATTTATATATTATAAAGCATTTGAAAACTTTGTAGAGGTAACTTCCAGTAGAAAGGTCACACTACCATAAAAACAGAAGTTAATGAGTATAACAGAAAAGTGAGGAGGCATTGAAAATACAACACCATAAAAGTACGTTTTGCGATGGCGGTTTCACTGCGATAATAGTGAATTTACGAAGTCAAAACGCCAACTGCAACGAGAACGTAAAAGTTATAATCTTTCAAGTCGTGATTATCGTAACTGTACGTAAGTAAAATATCGTATCGTATCGTACGTAAGTAAAGTATCGTAACTGTATCGTAAGTAAAATATCGTTACGAATGTTACTATGAAAACGTCACGAAATGAAACGTTTTTGTATAGTTCTTAAAGTAAAAATTTCATTCGGGGCGACATCACAAAAAAAAGCAAAGTTTAAAATAATTTTTTAAATAGTTATCCGAGGTTCGTAATGAGTTATTACTTACTTCTTAGTTATTATTTATTATTTTTTAATCTGATAAGATAATAAACAATGAAGAGCTATTACTTTACGATGTTAATAAATTTAAAAGCTTAACTTTGCCTTATCACAGATATATAATGCCTTATTAGATATATAATTTAAAGGGCATATCAGGGGATGAAGCCAAAAAGTAAATTTTGTTTTTTATCAAATTTTTTACGAACTGATCAATATTTTTCATATTCACGTGAAAACAAGTACTTTACAATGGTACCACTATTTCAAGCTTTTTGTATTTTTTCAAAACGCTTTGCTTACCCCTGCAGATATCAAGAAATACCGCGATTTTCAATACCAATACCGCAATTTGTGTATGATTTTCAAATCACACAAACAGATATACGAATGAATACGTTTTTTGCGGTAAAAAAAATTTATTTTTTGCAATTAATTTGGGCGATCCTAAAAGTTTTAGAATCTTTTGTTTTAGGCTAAAACAAAGGATGATTTAATTGAGGTTGCTTCAGACGTGCGGAAACTTCAAAATCTTTAGATACTCCGCAGTTCAAAAATAGACTTTCAACGGAATATTGGTAAGATCATTCCTTTTAAGAAATCCTGGAATAGTTCTTCGCACCCCTGAATCTATTAGTAAAGTGGCAGCAAAAGGTTCCAGTCAGCAGAATTACAAGAATTTTTGACTATTTTTCTAATTTTTTAAAACAGAATGGTTTACTTTATGTCCTTGATTGTTCACATGCTTTTTATAATATCAATGAGACAAATTTTGAATTAAATCCAAGAGTTCTCTCAAGGAAAGGTGCAAAAACAGTTTATTAAGCTAATTCATCAAGGCCTATAGAAAACATTACTATCTGCTATTGCTTCGGAGCTAATGTTAAAAACCCAGGTTATTGTGAAAGAAAAGTTCACTCGGAATGGTGATCTTGCATATGCTTCTGTCAATGCCAATTTTTTGTTTACTCAAACTGAATCTGGATGGCAAAACCAACGCTCCTTTAAAGATTACATTCGAAGAAATGATGACGAATTGAAAGATGTTGCACGCCCTGTTTTTATATTCTTAGACAATCATCTAAGTCACATTAATTTTTTATTTATTAAAATGGTGCAAGTATCGGGGAATTCAGATAGTGTATTTTCCTCCAAATTGCACTCACATTCTTCAAATGTGTGATACATCAATTTTTGGGCCAGCCAAATTAGGATGGAAAAAGGAAGTTAATAGTTGGAAAAGAAAAAATAGTTACAAGTAGGTTGATGAGATTGAGTTTATAAAGATTTTAAAACTGACGAATTTTTATAAAATCAAAAATAGTTAATGGTTTCTTTGGTACAGGAATTTTTCCACTAAATATTAAGAATGCTTATCTTGAGTGGTGTATTGGAGTAGATAATGATTCTGAATCTACATCCAATTTAGATGCGCTCTTAAATGTTTTGAAATTCCTTTTTTTTCAAACGCCGTTTCACCTATTAAAAACATTATCGGCAATGAACCAATAGCTCCTATAATATAAAATAATTTAGTTTTTTGATTAAATATTTTTTCGTTGATTTTTTCATGTAGAATCTTCTTGTGTACTAATTGATAAGGCAAGAGCTATTCTTCATTACGTATCAAAAATACAGGAAAATGTAGAGCCATTAGATAACCTTTTGAGCTACACCCCTGGTTACTGTGTTCTGAATTCTTTAGTTATGAAGCAGCAGCTTGATATACTTTCATCAGCATTTTATAATGAAATGACAGTTCCAGTTTCTTCAACTTTAATTCAGAATGTGCTCAAACTTTCAGAACCAATTAAACGCAAAACAAAAAGAAAATTAATTATGGAATCTTTACGAGTAACGAAGTTTTGAAAATGTATAAAAAAAGAGGATGAAGAATAGAAAAAAAAAAAATGTAAAAGATTAAAAAAAAAAAAAAAAAAAAAAAATGGAAAAAGCATAAAAAAGATCTAAGTCATCTGAAACGTGTTGCTAAAAAGAAGCATAAATCGCCAGCTAAAAAAAATTTAATATGTATGTTTTTAGTTGTTTTAAGAAATGAAATTCGAACTTTTTTTAAAATACTGAAATTCGAATTTTTTTAAAATACTGAAATTCGAATTTTTTTAAAATACTGCAAAAAATAAATTTTTTTACAACAAAAAACAGATTTCATACTGTAAAAAATATATTGGTTAAGTAACTTTATTTTTAAGCAAAAACAATAAGGGACAATAAAAATGGGATAGTAACACATATAATATTTCCTTTACTGCACATTTTGCTGCATATTTCATTTGAAAAGAGTATACGAGTAAAAAGTTATAAGAAAACAAAATTTCAAAGAGCGGAATACAGTAAAGAAGAAATCTTTTACCCTATCTATTCTGTCATACATTATTTCTTTTGATACTCTAGATTGTTACACTTTTGATAAAGAGAAAAAAAAATCCACTAATATTTAAAGTACATCAAAAATATCATCGAACCTCTAAAGCTCATCTAAATATTTTTTTACTTTCCTGTTCAATGTAAAAGACAACAAATTGACTACTTTTTTTTTTGCTATAAAAAATGGTCTATCCTTTTTGATAATGTAAAGGAAAAGCATGATTAACGAAAATCTGTATCAAAAATATTATTACCGTTTGTATCCATCAGATTTTAAGTAATTTAAGACATGTGATGTACCCAACACCAGTTGATCAGCTATTTCTTGAATCCAAGGGTTATTGTCGGCACGGAACACATGTTTAGGATTGATCAAGTCTAAGCTGCCTTAAAAAAAAAAGTTATTGATTGCCACACTGTTTTAATCACAGTACAAAAATATATTGTTGTCTAAATATCTTAGTAATTAATAATAATGGACTGTATAAGTCATTCTGTAAAAGGAAATTCTGTATAAGAAAAAATTAAGATTCAAACAAAAAACTCAAAATTGTTGGCACAGCTTTTTATAAAAAATCTGCTAAATAATTCTATATTAAGTAATTTTTTAAAATCAAATTTATAACTAACAATTTTTTTTTTACATCTGTTTGAAAAAAGTCAATTATATCTGTCAATAAACAAAAAAAAATTTTATTTTATTTTAAACCATAAAAAAAATCAGCACATTTATTAACCAACAACAACAAACATATTATTCTAATATAATATATCATTCTTCTATTTTATTATATAATATTACTATTCTAATATAATATATTATTCTAATATAATATAGTATTATATACTATAATATATTATTCTATTAATTCTCTCCTTTGTGAAACATTTTGATTATTCACTCATTTTTTCTTTCCTCTGCAAGGTATGTAAAATGAAGTAATATATTATTACTTATAATAAAAAACGAGAACATTTATTCCCAGATAAGCAAAAACCAATTATTAGGTACAAGAGTCATCTAACAAAGTTATTGATAATCAGTTATCACAACAAGTATCACAATATTGTGATAGTTGGAACTATCTTAAATAATAAAAATATTGGGTTAGGGAATAAATTTGTTTGGTTTTTTCAAAGAGGATTATTGGATAATGGATTTGTTTGTTGTTGAGCAAAGTGTTTGTATTCATTAGACAGTGCCTTTTCTGCTCTACAAAACTGTGTTATTTGTTTTTAAGAATATTTTTAGTTTTTCCTATTTTCCACCCTTAGAAACGGAATACCCGGGTAGCAAAAATCAGCATTTTCTTTGCTTTTCATTGTGGTCAAAAAGCAGCTGAAGCCGCTTGTGACATATGCAACGTGTATGGAGGTGTTATAGGTGAGCACTCAGCACAGAAATGGATTGTGAAGTTCAAAAAAGGCGTTTGGTGGGACTGGGAAAACATGATACACTGAGAAATGCTTGAATGGAATGCAATGGTCAACAATGAGCTCTACATTGCCCAACTACGCCGCGTAAATGAGGCTATGTGACTGAAAAGACCCTGACCGACAAGACCAAGTCATCTTGCTCCATGACAACGCCCGACCCCATGTTGCACAAGTTGTCAAAACCTCACTATAAGAGCTCAAATGAGAGGTTCTTCAACACCGTACTCTCAGGACTTTGCGCCGACAGATTATCACCTTTTCTGCTCCTTTTCAAATCAAATGAGGGGTGCTAACTTCGAGAGCGAAGAGGTCGTCAAAAACTGGACAAACTTCTTCGACACCAGACCAGACAATTTTTTGCGGAACGGCATCAACAAATTGATCGAGAGGTGGAAGGAGGTTGTAAACAGTATTGGCAAATACATAATTGATTAATTTATTGTTATAATTATTATTTTTTGTTTAAAAAAAGCTCTTTGAAAAAAACCAAACATACTTATTCCCAATCCAGTACAATGTAACTAGTAACATTTAACCAGAACCACAGTCTGAAAGATTACCAAAATTTATGCCATACAAAAACATGTGGGAAAAGGAACCAAGTTAAACCCAAATGGATTTAACTGGATACATGTCACAGAAATATTATTACAAGCATCTTTTTGGAGACAATAAAAATTACCAACATACTTCATACATCTTTCAACCAATATTTATTTCAATCTTTCACTTCTCTGTATAAAAAATATCAGTAGCACCTTGTTAGTTAGATACCACCACATATCTTGTTGATTCATATGTTAGTTAGATACCACCACATATCTTGTTGATTCATATTTTGCAAACAATACAGTTTGGTCTAACACCTTTCTTATGCACTCACATAGTCACTTTCCAGTATTTTCTAATTATTATTTCATGACTTTACAATGCAGACACTTTGTCTAACTCATGTTTATGCATCACTTCAATCTTTCCAATACTAAAATCTTAGTATTAATTTTTCTGTCTTTGCAATCAAAAAAAATCACCTGCATAGAACAGTTACCATGGTAAACTAACACTAAATTTTAAAGAGCTTGCAAAACAGTAATAAAAAGCAAAGGTCTGAGCACTAATGTACAACAATTACTTTCAAACTATTGCGCTCTTTATCTTTTGATGGCTGTTGTGACATTTTCATACATAGTTATGATACCTGTTACCAGCCATTTTTCAAACACTACCAACATGCCAAAACACTGCTAAAATGCCACAAGCCCTATCACACTATTACTCCTGAAACTCTGTCAAAAACTTTAAGGTCTGCAATATTCACCCTTTTGACCTTCATTCTTTTTTTTTAAATCTTTCTTTAAACTGTTTTACAATAAATATTGCATCTGTTGTTCCTTTATCATTATACTATATTAAGCAGTAACACTCTAATCTAAATACCATGTATCTCTCATTCATTTGACTTATCTTAACTATTTATTAATTTTTCTGCTACTAAAATGCCCCCTAACACTCTTTTTTCACATTCAATTCAGAAGAAACCACCAACAATCATATCAAACAATGCTAGCACTACTACTTTTTTAATTAGTCAAAGACACAATTTTTGCAATTAAAAAAACAACAACATTAAAGCAAGTACTATTACACAAATTATTTAAAAATTATTCTTTCCAAAAATAATTAAATTTGAAGAAAAAAACTAATGGTAATTAATTAGAGAAGATTATGAAAAATGCAGTTAAAAATTTATACAAAAAAAAAGCTTGAAATGAGAATGAGTAAGAATTTAAAACAGTTTTCATTATTTTGGATGTTTAATTTAAAAAAAAAAATGTTGTGAAACTTTATTATCAAAGTAGTCTGAGAACCAATCCAAAAATTAAAATATTTAACTTAGTTCTATTATGTAACCATAGTTAATTACCAGAAAGTTAAACCAAGTTCTATTATGTAACCATAAAACACAAAATAAACTAAAGTGCTAACTACGGCTTTTAGTCTATAAAATATATATTCTACATTCTATAAAAGCAGATATTTGACATTCATCCATAAACTCAGATAACTCATAATAAATAAAGATAAAACATTGTTTAAAATATTTATAAAATAAAAATAAAACATTGTGAATCTGACATGTAAATTTTCTTGTATGATGATATTATTTTTCTAATAAAATTTTTTTTTACCTATTTCTACAGGCAACACTTGTAAGCGATTATTTTGGATATGAAGCTCCTTGAGCTTTGTCAATTCACCCATTTCTTTTGGAATACTGATCAAGTCATTGTCTCGAACAACTAGCTTAAAAAAAAAAAAGCATTCAAAAATAAAAAAATTATTACATTGATAAAGTTACGCTTACTTGACACTTACATTGATAAAGTTACGCTTACTTGACACTTACATTGATAAAGTTACGCTTACTTGACACTTACCACTTGCAAATTAGTCAGATTCTTTATAGCTGGCGGTAGTACTTCAAACTCATTATCTCCCAAATATAGTGCACGTAATGGAGCTAAAAAAATTGACCTTCCAATAAGATTTAACTAGTTTTTTGAATGCAATTTTTCATAATAAAAATTCTGAAATATACCAAAACAATGCAAAGTTTTAGTATATTTGTATTTGTAAACCAAACAAATTTGTTTTTGTAAAACAAACAAATATACCAAAACTATGCAAAGTTTTGGTATATTTGTATTTGTAAACCATTTAAGTTTTACTTTAATTTCGTCAGTAACTTTAAACTAAATTAAAAATCGAATGTGAGCAATTTCTAACTATGTATAACAAAAATAGATGCAACAAAAATAAATACAATAAACTAGAATAATTGAACAAATTTATTAAAACATGAAATATCGGTACCAAGGTAAAAAAAGTTTCCAGGAAAAGAATTATCATTTAACTCATTATAAGTAAGGTCAAGTACTTCTAACTGTGGACATGCTCCAAAACCTTTTGGCAGTTCTTTTAGTTTGTTAATACTAAATAAAAAAAATAAATAAAAAAATATATAATAAAAATGAAGATCTATTAAAAAAAAATTAAACAAAAAGCAATATTATTATATTGTCATAAAATTAAAACATAATTTTCTTATTTCTTCATTTATTTAATTTTCATACATTTCTTTCCTTCACAATTATCTTATTTTCTTCATGATTACATTTACACAGCTAACACAAGTATTTCCACATTTACATAGTATTTACAAATATTTTAAAAGCAAACACAAATTGCAACACACAAAATTGCTATCATACCCACAGTTCAAAAACTTCAACTTCGGTAAGTTACAAAGAGTTGTTGGTAACATCTTAAATTTAAAAATATTTTTTATTATTACTACTATTTTATAAATATTTAAATTAATTTTTGACCATTAAATAATTACTAATCACCTCTAATTCATTATTAAACAAGTTTAAATTCTCTAAGCTTGTTAAGTTAGATATAGCATCTGGAATTTCTAAAAAAATATATAGAAAAATTAAAAGCTTGATTTTATGTTCTATTGAATTGGAACCAAAGAGATTTTAAAGTTTATTCTGAATGACTTACTTTGTAATCTGTTGTGACTCAATGTAAGAATAGTTAAGTCCCGTAATTGCACTAAAATATAAAAATTATTTATGTTTCATGTTTTAAAACATATAAACTTGAATATAAGGAGCAGCCCTTGAAAAAAATAAATTGCTGACCTTATACTATATATGGTTGTATTTTTAACAAAAAAGTTCAAATATGACAACATAGAAACAAGTTCAACAAAAAATCGCCAACCTCAGATACCTTTTTGGTCAGCAGTTAGGTCAAATTATTGAATACTGTCCCTAATTCCGAGAGCTGAAGAAGTAAATAAAAGAATCAAGAAGATGTAAGAAGTATTTGAGGAAAATCTAACTTTAATATTTAAGATAATAAAGTGCTTTGATATTAAGATAATAAAGTGCTTTGTAAAATTTATTCATAAACTTTTCAAAGAGTTAAAAGCAAATAATTTTTCTAAGTGATAGATAGCTGAGATGTTTTATTTAAAGTGCAAATGTTAGACAGCATACTATTTTACTGTCTCAGTATAATTTATTCAATCATTTTCTGGATTTTTTTATATCATTGGTTTGTACTTTTTTATATGAATCTGGAGTTCATGATCTATTAAATATTATTAGAGTTTTCCAGTCTGATGGAAATCGACATCTGTTATCCCTATTTTCAAAAATTCTATAGAGCGATCTGAATAGTCAAACTACCGCCCCATCTTCTTCCTATGATAAGCAAGGTTTTTGAGTCATTAACATAACATAACCTTATTTTTCCTTATTCCAAAAGCTGATGTGACCATCAAGAGGGTGCAACCACACGTCTTTTCCGAGAAGGCTTGATATATATTAAAACGTGTAAACTAATAACAAATGCAAAGTACCATGGCTAAATTGTCAAAACAAAATATTACATGTATGGTCATATGTTGCATGTTCATTAAGTTATCTTATACCTATTCATATTTCTTTATGATGCAATCTTTAATATCTTCTGACAAATGACAAACTTTATTGTTATTTTTTTTAGCAACAATTGTCTTAATTGTTTCAACAAATAAAATGAAATAAAAAAGTACAAAAATATGAGTAAAAAGTAAAATAAACAATAATAATATAAATAAATAAAAAGAAAAAAAAATTAAGTTATAGTTTCCATTGTTTTCAAAGGCCAATTTTATATAACAAAATTTTTTTATTTAAAAGTTTTTATAACAAAATTTCCTACTCAATTGTGGAAAGTCAACTAATGTAGATATTCCTTTATCTTGCAAGTCTAATTCTTCAAACTGTTTGTTTTGAGCTTCTTCTATGGCTTTCTTTACAGATTTAGAACTTCCAGTCATTTTCCTTTTTTTGATCTTACCTGTAATACAATAAGAATACCTAATTATATATCATTATTTATATTCAAATAAATACAACTACATTAATTATAAAGTACAAATAATCATTGATTAATTATATTTTATTTTTAAATGAGGAATATATGGTAAATGGCTGGTGCACAGTCATTTTTTAACGAACATTGAAAATTATTGAAAATATTTTTACTTTATCATTAATGTTTTTACAATTCCTTCTTCAGCTTTTATTTTTCAACTTATTTTTTTACAAAAATTAAGTTCAAATTTTAAAAAAAGAAAGAAAGTGTATTTAAAAAGATAATTAAAATCCACATTCAAAAGTCAGAAAATGTCTTTCATCAATTTAATTTTAAGTAGTTGTCTAAAATTAAGTGTTACTGATTATTAAATATTATTAATATTAAAAAATAAAAAATGTTTAGCTATTAAATTATTAAATAAAACTAACAGCTAACTTATTATTATTAATTATATTTGCTAATTTAATTACAACTAATCAATTTGCAATAAATTTCAATGAAAACATGTGCCATATTCATTATTAAGAAGTGCGCATATTTTAAAATTTTATGCTCCCATTAGTGCAAATAAATGTGCATATATTTTAGAACTTCATGCTCCCATTAAGAATATTAAGTTTGAAGATGCTTATTGACTATTTTACAACAAAATTCAGTTCTGTTTTCTTTAATAGCAAGTTTCTTATCCCCAGACCAAATATCTTCCTGTCATTCTTTTTGTAATTTTAAAAACTCTCTGTTTTGAATATTCAGTATCATAATACGAGAATTAGCATGACTGATGTTGAAGAAATCATTTTAGTTTTTTGTACTTTTTAAAGATATAATTAGACGATTGAATTATTTGTCTTGAAATGTATCATCAAACTTGACCAGCATTTAAATCTTTTATCTTCATATACTGCTTTTGTTTTACTATTGAAGTCTTGATTTCAATCAGACTAGCCAAACTTGATCAGAGACTTGTTGTGCATCCCATGAATCATCAGTTTCTTGATCTTATGAAAATGAACAAAACTTTGTGTGACACCTATACTTAATGATAGACAAGCCCCTGATATTGTTTTAGAAGAAAAGCCTATAAACCAGACTTCTTGTAGATCTACCCAAAATACCAAGGAAATTAGACATATAAAAACACAATTGTAGTAGTGAAGTGTACTACCCTAATATACTTCTATAAAATTAAATTACTTTTAACACTTTTTGACACAATTATTAACAGATTTTTAACTTAAACTTTTATCTTGAATGATTGCAAACAAAGTTTTGCATGTAAATAAAGTTCACTAAACTTCCAGATATGAAAATAAAAAGTCATGTAACAATAGTCTAGCAGCAAATGTATTATTTAAATAAATACACAAAAATATTTAGTTATTTTATTTTAAAATTAAGATTCAAATACAATTTTTTAAAAAAATTATTATTTTAAATATTATATTAAACATCATCAATTCATGATTTAAATCAACTTTAAAGAATGTTTATAATTGCACAATTACTGAAATTTGTTTATGTTTACTTATTATATTTAAAAGCTTATGTCAGTTATGTTTCATTAATAAGCAACAGATTAAAAAAAAAAAAAAAAAATCAAAAATTCTTAAGGGAACACTATAGCTTCTTTAAACTTCAAAGATTGCAAAATTGTACCACATATTTATATTCTAGAGGACAAAGCACCAAACATTCCAGATAAAATAAAATTTCAAAACTTTCAGGTACAAATATGTATATATTATACATTCATTAGAATTAAGACTGTTAACCAATGGACTGGTACCCTGGGCACCAAGGTACCAGCCCATTGGTTATTGCCTGGGTAGCATAAAATCAAAAAATGTTACACATCATTTGATAAGTTTATTGAAAAATGCATTTAACTTTAGAATAAATAATTTAATATAAAAATTTAAGAAGATAATTTGGTATTTAAAAGTAGATCTTGAAAATCTTGTGTTTTGAACATTGAAAATAATGTTTGGAAAATCATTTGAGTTTCTGATTCAGGAATTCCCTTATTTTTCCTCACCTTATGATGATGTTTTCCTTTACATAAATCAGAACTCCTCAAACTCGTTTAATAAATTATCTCTTGGACAAAGCTCTTTCAAAATCTTAAAAATGGAAAATATACTTATTTTGAAGCTCATTGAGAGAAATCCAAGTTTCAGTTTAGCAAATTTAAATTTTTTCAGTTAAGCAAATTATACCCAAAATATTTTCAGTTTCTTTTTAAAAAAGGTATACATTTTGTTTGTTTGAAAAATAACTTTTTAAATTTGAAAAAATATACTTAAACATTAATCCATATCTTTATTAAACCTTAGAAAATAAGTTTAGAGTTAGCAAACTTACCAAAACAAATTATTTATCAAGATATTAACAAAAAACATTTTAGAGCATTTATGTGTTGAACAAAACAAAGTGGAGAAACTAAAATGAGGAGTACTATTGAAATAAAGAGCACCAGAATTAAGAATCAGATTATCCAAAGACTTTACTTATTTATAGAAGTAATAAAGATTTGGGTTTACAAAAGGCTAATCTTATTGTAAGTTAAAAAAATAAAAGAAATTTAAAAAGCCTTCCAATTAGCATGGCTTGATGACTTTAAGTAGATAGCATACAGCAAAGTACCCTTTCTATTTGGAAGTTGTTTGTTTGTTGCAGTTGTTGTGTTCTGTTTTGTTTTTTACATAAAACAAGGATATTGTTTGTCAATGTTTCATCAAAAAAAATGTTTTAGGCAAAAAAAAAATTCAGAAAAAGTGCAAGGAGCACTAAAACTGCTAACTTTTGGTAGGCATGTAAAGAATTACTGGTGAAGCAACTATTTCATAATCAATTTTCCCAAAAAAAGTTTTAATAGGGTTTCAATAGGGCTGTCAACATTTTAGCCTAGTTAGGGTAACAAAACAAGATACCATTTCTCAAGAACAACCTGTATCTATTGTAGGGTACATACCCTGAATTTTATTATCATAAGTGTTTGCAGCCATTCTGTAGTCTAAAATATCATTGACAAAGTAAAAAAAAGCTTTTCCTTTAAAACCCTTTGAAAAAATGATTTGCTAAAAAAATTGATCCAAATCAATAAAAGATACTTTGCATCAAAAACCTCTAAAGGCATTTACAGAATTCACTGGGTAGTAAGACACAAGAGCTATTAAACACTTTTATCAAACCTAAGTTGATTGTTGAAACACTTGAAACAAAATCTCTAAATAATGTTAGGTGCATGGCAATGGTGAGACAATAGATTGTATATAAGATATTACCAGCTGCTTAGTAAACTGCCTTAATCACACATTTTGATTTCATTGTAGTATTCCTATCTCTTTGGTAAGGTATACTACTATGAAATCATAGATTATCTCAACAAAATTAATACCTAGTAACCTCTGTGCACGCAATGAAAGCTCACAAATTGAAATGGAACAACAAGCAAATAAGCTTTAACTTAAAAAAAGAAAGTCAAAACAAGTCAAAAAACTTGTTACTAAATAACTTGCAATAGTTCTACATGTCACTGAATATCACTGTACCAAAAAAACTTAAAGTTTAAAAGTAGATTCAAAGCTGACAATCTAGACCACCTATTTGACTGCAGGATAAAAAAAAACTAAAAGTTTCTAGCAGAAACATTAAGTTTTACTATTAACCCCATAATGATATATGAATCAGAAAAACAAAGAAAGAGTTTTAATTTCTCATTATAACACAACATTTGAAATAATGTACTTTCTCTATGATGAAATCTAACCAGAAACTAATTTGAAATTTTAAACAGATACCATTTCAGAAAATAGAATTTAAACTATGCATATACCAATTGTATTTATAAAATGTTAGCAGAAGCTTCAAAAGTTTCTGTTTACATTTTAGAAAAATAGTTTACACATTGAAATGTCTTTTTTATGTTTTAAACCCACTATAACTTGTAACAGAAGATTATAAAAAAAATTTAAAATTACATAATAATATAAAATTATAGCAAAAGCTTTATAAAAAAAAAAGAATAGCTTTATAAAAAAAAAAAAAAAAAAAAAAAAGAATAATAAAAAAAAAAAAAAAAAAAACAGAACGCAGCTTTAAGTTACATTAAAAAAGACTTTGAATTGATATTTATTAGAATAGATATTGTCAAATATTTTTTAAAATTTGTTAATAGTTCCTTTTTCTACTGTTTAAAAATTTAGTTAGCTTCAAGTATTTACAATTCTGTTTGTAAAAAAAAAAAAAAAGTATCTTGGTAAACATATTTAAGCTGTTTAGTAATATAATGCAGATACCTAACAGGAAGTTGGTCTCTAATGGGTTTATTGAACTTATTTTTTCATATTTTTTGTAGATTTTGTATTGAATGATTAGATTGTCTCTTGGAGGAGGGGGACCTCTTTCAAAGATGTGTATGCTTCAATATCTTCAGCAGCGATGACTTAACTATAAATGAATGGTATACATCCATTCTTAATAGAGAATAGATGACATCATGTTTTCCTAACTTGTCTATACTCTACAAAATCAACTTGATTCTTTCTTTTACATCTGTTTATGATGAGTTTCAGTAAACTAAAGATCAAAAATTATCAACAATGACAAAACAACGTCTTTTTGCATTGACATTAATTTTAATTGAATGCAAGCTTGCTGAGAGCATTGACAGTCACTTTTCTTCAACCCAACGGGCACAGACATCTGCATGACATCTATACAATGCCTTATGAATATCACTAGTCCTTATAATATTCTTGCATAAAAAACATTTGTATAAACTAGCAGGAGAGTAAATTTCTTTCTTAATGCTTTATTTCAGTAATATGTATTGTGTAAAGTTTTTATTTACTTTAGTGAAATCAAAGTAAATAATATCATCTTTAGATTTAAATAGTTTGTAAGAAAATCATACAATTATAACAGTTGTGCAACATTTTGATGGTTAGTTGTACAACATTTTGATGGAACAAATCCATGTTGGTTTAAATTAATAAGTTTTTGTAATATAAGAATTATATTAGACAATCTTTAATCAAACTTTCCATAAACTTGTACATAATAGATGTTAAAGACACTGGGCAGTGGTATACAAGTTCAACTTTCTCTTTATTATAAAATAATGTAATGACATTTGCCAATAGCCATTCATTTGGAAAATTGGAAAAATTAAAAGATTTATATGAATAGCAATAAAAAATAAAATGGTTAAAACATAAAATTGATTAAAAAGCAGGAGTAAAAATGGAATATATATTTTTTATTATATATATATATATATATATATATATATATATATATATATATATATATATATATATATATATATATATATATATATATATATATATATATATATATATTTTTTTTTTTTTTCTACTAAAAAAATACAAAACTAAAAATTTTAGTAAATTTATTAAACAAAGTAATAATAAAAAGAAAATATCAAAGCATACAAAATTAAACCATTATAAGAGATTTTATTTAAACAAACTTACCAGACAATCTAATTAATGAATCATACAAAAAAATTAGATTTACTACTTACTACCAAAATATAGAAATTTTAAATAACCCAGTAAATTGTTATTCATATTAGAGGAACAAGTTATCAAATCAAAGGTCATATACTCGTTTTATAAGTTATATTTCTATAAAATAACAAATTTTGAACTAGATTTGTTAGGCTTTGAAACCATCAACTACAAATGGATATAATAGAGCCTTTTTAATATCTGCAGTGAAGGTTTTTTTGGCTCTCCCCAAGTTGCTCATAGGCAAATGCACTACCTTAAAAGAATAATAGAATGATCAAAGAGAGATCACCCATCTTTTGCAGCTCTCCAACCAGCTTAAACCTTTGCAGCAAAACACAACATCTCCACATCCATCAAATTTTCCAATCATTTTTGCCATAAGTGTCATACTGCCAAAATAGTTTGTTGATACAACAACTTTGTTTATATTTTTATACCTCCCCCTCCCCCTTGTCAACAATTTGTCAAATTTCCAGAGACCCCCCTATAAAATTACGCCAATTTTTGATTACCCCCCTTCCTATACAAAAAAGCTACACTACAAACTCACCCAAATTTTTTGTAATTTAAGCAATGAAATTTAAAAAAAAAAAAAAAAAAAAAAAAAATTGTAGACATCAACATTAATTGACCTTCCCCTTCCTCCTTGTCAACAATTGTCAAAAAAGTTCAGACCCCCCTCCCCCTATTTTGTTGATGTAATTAATGGACAACCCCTAATTTCATTTAACTAATGTTGATTTCTCTATGTAATACAAAAATAATATTAGTCCATCTTTCTTTCATTATTTATTGCCATAAAGTAGATTTAAACTAGTCAAAGAACAATACTTAAACATTGATTACCTCAAAATGAAAATATTGGACTGTACTGTTCTTCTTTTCACCAATTCAATTATATAAAAATATTATGACTAGCGGTAACAAATTACATCAATTAACTATTATACCAAGTATAAGAAAAAAAAATTATAACAGTTAGCCATTGTCATATAATAAACCACAATTTACTAATAATGACCACATGACAAGGGGGTCATTAGGGAGTTATAAAGCTAATATAAGCTATATAACTCCCTAATGTCAACTTAAAATATCAAAATCTTACTTTACAGTGTGTGTATTGCAGGCTTGTCCTTTTTTTATAGTCTTATAAAAAATGTAAACAACGAAAGTGAAGCTGAATAATTTTAATTTCACTAGTTAATATTGTAACTGAGTAGTTTTAGCTACTCAGTTTCAGAGGTAGTCACCTCAGTCTACTCAACCACTATGAATAATAGCACATAATCAATAGCTTGTGTTGTAATATTTTGAATTGTTAAGATATAAAAAAAATTATAGTACAAGAAATATAACTAAGTTTAGTATTGGTGGTTAAAATGGCTCACCTTCTGAGCATTTCTGAGAAATGAAAATTCAGTGCTAAAAAATCTCTCTTGAAAAAAAGAAGAAAATTTTAACTCTGTTGAAAGTTTTAATAATTTTTTAAAATGACTTATTAATTTAGTATTGAATAATTGTTATTATAAAACTGGCAGGAACAGGTCAAATAAACCTTATATTTACATTAAAATAGCAATCATTTCTTAAAGTGTTTAAAATCACTTTAAGTAAATTTTGCTTGATCTTACTGGTGATAGGAACATAGTTTTTTGAAGTGTAACAATGTTTAGAGCATTAATACTCAAACAGCCTATAACTTTTTCTATTTTAATAGTGACTGCATTAATATGATTGCTGTATAAAGTCCAACTTTAAAGGAATCATAACTTTTATAAATCTAACTTTGAAGGAATAATAAGGTAAAGTAACTCCATTGCCAAGATAATTTGACCCCCTATAAAGTTTGGAACAATACAAAGATATAAAAGCCAGATAAAACTTTGCATGTACTTAGTTTACGATTATGTGCGAAAAATATGCGACCAAAATATTATTTGTTACGAAAAAAAACAACACTAAATAACTGTTAATTTTATTATAAATTTAAAAATAGTATATTTAAAGTAAGCATGTGCTTATTAAGTGCTTGTAAACGTTAATTTTAACAGATGTTATTTAATATAAATTAATAAACGGAAAAGATAAAAACTAAAAGAAAAAAAATGCTTGAAATATCTTTGTATATTTTTTCTTTTTAAAATGTCTATCTTTGTAATTAAAGTATTTGAGGAAAAATAAAATTATACATTAATTGTTTAAAAAATACTAAGGAATAAAAATAATACCAAATCAACATGCAAAATCCAAACAACTAATAACAAATCTTATTTCATTAACTTATTCTTGACACATTAACGTAAACCCAAAGCAAAAATTTACAAATAACTTTAAAAACCAATCAGAATTGGAAATACTTCCATGTGATTAGCAAAATTAAAAACAAAGCGTACGGATTCGTTTTCTAAATTGTTGACTGGTTTCTTTTCCGCGACTGTTTCTTTTCCATTTTTTTGCAATTCAAGTTTTGTTGTAAAACAAACTTAGGTAAACCAATAGTTGCGCAAATTGCATTATAATCTTTTTTAAACATTTAACAAAAAAACTTTTAAAACTAAAAACTATTACTAACAGTTGTAGGAATGTATAACTACTGTGCAACAGTTGCACAACAAATGTGTTTTTATATGAAAACTTTAGTCAAACTTTCTTTTTTCTTAATTATGTTATTTAAAAAAATTAAAGGTGCCTTAAAAAGACTAACGGTTTTTTCAAAATGGTCCAAAATTAACCAAAAAGTTTACACCTGCTTCATTGGCGATAACCCATAATAAACCATAATAAGTTCGAATTGAGTCCTTCATCTATAGCTTCTAAAGCAAGAGCTCTAACCACTGCGCTACAGCTACTACTTTTTAAAATCTGAATTTGAAATTTGAAAAAAATAAATAAAAAATTGACAATGTTTCAATTTATCTTATTTTATTTATGTTGTTATGGATTTTTACTTTTACCAACGCCCTTAGCATCCTTGTTATGGAACTATAACACCTTTATTGCAAGTTATTTATGGTGTAGTTCATTCCCAATTTGTTTACAAGTGTTCCTTATGCACTCAGTATAACTGAAAAAAAATTATTTTTCAGGAATTAAATTAGGACTCATTGCTAGATAATTGCCTCCATAGCCACACACAAAATTTAAATGACTGTTTAAATGGAATTAATTGAGCACGTTGTCCCAAATCTACTTATTGTAGCAGAAAAGGACTTACAATTGGTGTTTGTTCTGCTATCATATATTTCAATGATGTTATTAATGGTATTTGAAATCAGAGCCGTCGCTCGGCTCCCCCATACCCCCCAATTGGGAGGGGGCAGCATTTTCAGGGGCCCTTTTCAAAAAAAAAAAAAATTTTGTTTTTGTTATATAAAAAAATAGTTAAATATGTATAGTTACTGTTACTATTAATAAAAAAAAATTGGCCTTTTAATCGCGATATTACCTAAATTATGCAAGCGTAAAAAAAGCAGTAACATTTTTAATACAAAAAAAAAAAAAGAATTAACACTCCCGAAGTCTGAATTATATTATAAAACGCAAGCTTTATAAATTTATTATTTTTTTTTGCAATTTCGAGTTGATTTTTTTATTATTATTATGCGTTGTTAGTTTTTTATATCATAAAAAACAAACAATGAAAGAAGGTTTGCAAAACTTATAAATTATCTTTCGTTAGTTTTTCATGATATAAATATTGGTATGAAAAAAGTGAAAATTGGTGCCACTAAGAGAAGAAAAAAGCTGCAGCCAGAGAGAAAATCAAAAAATACCCCAAACTAACAAATCAAGATAACATAGACGAGCAACAATAAAAGTTGCTCATCTATGCAGTGCAGTGTTAAAAAGGATACTGAACATTAACTTATTTCTTTCTGCAAGAAATCTTGAATTCCGTGGTTCAGACACAGCCATCGGTTCAAAGAGCAATGGAAACTTTCTTGGGGTGTTTGAATTACTAACTAAATACGATACCGTTATCAATGAGCCTATGCAAAGAATTCAGGACGAAGAAACCAAGGAGCACTATTTGAGCAATGGCACACAGAACGAGGTTTGAGAAGGAGATTGAATTCGAAAACCTATCTAGGGTAAAAAATGCAAAATACTATATTATTATTTTAGATTGTACGCCATGCATTTTGCACAAAGAACAAATAAGCATAGGTCATCTATCAGTGTAATTTCTTTTTAGTGTTCTTTCAAGGTTATATACACTCTTTTCATTGTCTCCTCCTCGATAGGAAAATTAAAATTGTGCCTCGCTATTTCTGTCAAACAATCAGATACCAGATGGGTAAGTAGAATAAATTGTGTTAAAACACTTCACTGTTATTTAAAAGAAATCTTAAAGGCACTCGAAAGTTTGGAAGAACATGACTTAGAGAAGAGAGATGGGGCTACAGCCACAGAAGTCCGATTGCTCACGGAATATATTAGAACATGGTCTTTCTTATTATCAATCATTATTTGGTATGATATGTTATTAAAAATAAACAAATCAAGTAAGCTTTTTCAGTCTTCTGCAACCTCTCTCGACATTAGCTAGTGAAATAAAGGCAACAAATGCATTTCTTTATGAGTATCGCAAAAATGGATTTTCTGACGCACGTATTAAGGCATCAGAAATTGCAGAAGTATTGGGCCTTGAAAAAGTTTTTCCAATAACACATTTACGAAAAAAAAAATGTTGATTTATTCATACGAGTGTGTTGATCATACTCGGCAACCTGAACATTGGTATAAAGCATATTTTGGCTATAATTGATATGTCAATTGCATCAGTAAAAGAGCGTTTTGAACAGATCAGAACTGTCACTAAACTAATGACTTTCTTTACAAATCTGAAAGTCTTATCAAAGCCTGTAATGAAAATTCTTTGTCTATATATATTGCAAATGAAGCTTGGTGATATAGATTTTTAGGATTTAGAAATGGAGTTAAAACGATTTGTCATAGTTAAGAGGAAGGAAAAAAATGCTTCAAAGAAGAGCTGCAAGAAACCTATCTCAATTTAGTTGTTGCGTTACGAATCATTCTTACTTTACCAGTTACTGTTGCAAGTGCAGAACGTAGCTTTAGCAAGTTAAAACTAATTAAAACTTTTTATAGGTTAGTAAAAATAATCTTGCTTCATTATACATAAATTCATGTAGCTATATTTTGTTGTATCTTTAAATAGGTCAATAATGGTCGATGAACGTTTTTCTTCTTTAGCAACACTGTCGATTGAAATCGAGGTTGCAAGGAAATTAAGTTATGAAGGTATAATAAATGAGTTTGCAAGCATGAAAACACGTCACACTTGTGTTATCTGCAAAATACATTAAGAGTATTTAAAAACACTCTTTACTAGTAAACTCTATATCAATTTAACAATTATAAAATATACAAATTAAACGTTAATTTGATTGTTTTTAATCTTATAAACGGCGACGTAAAAATATGTCAGGTACCCTGCTTTTTGGTGTAATCTGTAAATTTTATCCACTTTTAAGAAAAAAAAAAAAAAAAAATTGGGATCCAAATGGCTAGTTTTTTTTTTTTTTTTTGGGGGGGGGACCCACTAGCCACGGCACTGTTTGAAAAGTTTTGGTTGTTTGAATGCAAAATATGACCATCATAAAGCTTTAATTCATTATAAACAGTCATTTAATGTTTTAAAAAGACAGAAAAAACTAAAAAGAGACTTAAGAAAAAGTTATATAGACAAAAAAAAAAAAAAAAATTGAAGGATGTCAATCCTATAATTCTGGATTCCATTAATTTAGTTTTGTTTTGTTTTATTTTAATAAATATTATCTGATTTTTAAAACTGTTTTATCACTGTACATATTTTTTATTGTTTTGGTTATAACGTTTACATAATACTTCACTAATACTTTATGAAACTTCTTGAAATTTTCACAAACATTTGTTACAATTGGGTTGGGGAATAAGTTTGTTCGGTTTTTTTCAAAGAGCTTTCTTTAAACAAAAAACAATAATTATAACAATAGATTAATTAATTATGTATTCTTTGTTACTAATTACAACCTCCTCCCACCTTTCAAGCAATTTGTTAATGCCGTTTCCCCCAAAATCGCCCGGTCTGGTTCGAAGTAGTTGTTGTGCCAGTTTTTGACGTCCTCTTCGCCGTCGAAGTTAACACCCCTCATTTGATTTGAAAAGGAGCGGAAAAGATGATAATCTGTTGGCGCAAGGTCCGGATAGTGTTGAAAAACCTCCCATTTGAGCTCTTGGAGTGCGGTTTTATCAACTTGTGCAACATGGGATCTGGCGTTTTTGTGAAGCAAGATAACTTGGTCTGGTCGGTCAGGTCTTTTCAGTCGCATAGCTTCATTTACGCGGCGTAGTTGGGCAATGTAAAACTCCTTGTTAACCGTTGCGTTCTTTTCAAGCATTTTCCAGTGTATCATGCTTTCCCAGTCCAACCAAACGCAAATCGTATTTTTTATTGAGTGGAGAACTTGCTTGACACTAGGCGTCGGCTTGTCTCCTGGGGCCACCCACTCCTTTCTTTGTTTCATATTGACGTACAGACACCATTTCTTATCTCCCGTGACGATTCAGTACAAAAAGCGCTGTTTATAGCCGCGTGTTGCTCAATGGCGCGCAAGGTTTTGAGCAGCAATATAAAGACGATTTTCTTTGTTGACTTCGTTAAGCTTGTGAGGAAACCCAGGCTCCGAGTTTTTCGGTAAATCCCATTGAGTGACGATGATTCAGGAACATCTTATGACCGCAGTTCCAATTCACAACTTGTTTGGCGACCATCTTCCTTCAAAAGTGCCTTGAGGTGCTCCTTATCGAACTCTGTGGGTCTTCCACTGCGAGGTATGTCTTCAAGGTCGAAGTCATTATTTTTGAACTTCGCAAACCGATTCTGTGCTGCGCACTCACCTATGACACCTTCTTCATACGCGTTGCATATGTCACGAGCGGCTGGAGCTGCTTTTTGACCATGATGAAAAGCGAAGAAAAGTAGGTGTCAAAAATGCTGATTTTTGCTACCTGGGTATTCCATTTATAAGGGTGGAAAATAGGAAAAACTAAAAATATTTAAAAAAACAAATAACACAGTTCTGTAGAGCAGAAAAGGCACTGTCAAATGAATATAAGCATTTTACTCAACTAAAAACAAATCCATTAAAAAAATCCTCTTTAAAAAAAACCCAACGAACATATTTCCCAACCTAATAATATAGTTATAAAATAATCCTGTTTGAAAACTCACGCTTATTCAGATTTGCACTTATGAAATTTTGAATGAGCAAGTCAAATTCTGAAAATTACCAGTTCTTATGAAAAAGACTATTTTTGTAAGTTTAGATAGTTTGAATGAGAAACTAGCACAGATTGTAGCTTACAT